AAGATTGATTGAGCCCAGGAGTTTGCAACAAGCCTGGGCAACATAATGAGACCTTGTCTTTACAAAAAAAAAAAAAAAAAAAAAAAAATAGCCAGGCGTGGTGGCATACACTTGTAGTCCCAGCTACTGGGGAAATGGAAGGATCACCTGAGTGCAGGAGGTCAAGGCTGCAGTAAGCTGTGATAGTGCCACTGCACTACAGCCTGGGCAATAGAGTGAGACCTCAACTGAAAAAAAAGTAGAAAGAAATTTGTGCAAACCTTATTTGGATCCTGACTCAAGTAAACAATAACAACAAAAAAGTATGATATGCATGAGACAAATGGAAATTTAACTCTGAATATCTTGAAATATTAAGTATTAATTTTTATTGTATAAAAATGGCATGGTATTGTAGCTACTTTTTTAAAAAGAAGCTCTATAGACCAGACACAGTGGCTCACACCTGTAACCTCAGCACAGGGACCCCTCCCCCTCTTTGACAGACAAGCTTCAATTTCATAATGGATGAAAATCTGTTGTGAAGGCAGCTCCTCTCTGTCCCAGGGGGCAGGTGGGCCAGCAAAGGCTACAACGATGGCAAGCTCGAGGCAGCTATGACTCTCGTGAGAGGACCTCTTGAGTATCCAGTACAGAGGGAGGGGAAATGGCAGCTGGTCTTATGGTATAGAATGATGGCCATCCACAAAGGGGGATAAAGGAACCACTGCACTGACTGCAGCCTCCCCGTTCAACCCCTCTTCTACCACCCCTGCCCACACACGCTGGCCCTCGCCCTCCTTCATGCTTGGTGGGTGGAGCCTCCATACCTGGCTGCATACCAAAAAGGTCCACAGAGGTGAGAACACAGGTTTCTAGAAACGAACCCCATGTCTGACCCTCCAGGACACCCCAAGTTCTCCAATTCTCTTGCAAAGAGGGCACAGGCCAGAGACACAGTCACAGACAAGGGGCTTGCTCCAAGTGATTAAGCTGTCCTCACCAGGGCATGTCCATGGGCCCTATGAGATAAGAGAAGTCAGAAGTCCTTGCTGCCAGGAAGTCTCTTCACTCTCACAGGCCCTTAGCAGCTGTCCTGCTCCATCTCTCATCACCTCCCCTTGAAGATACGGGGGCCACCTTGCCCCACAGGAAAGAGGCCTGTGACAAGAGTACAACCTGCCTTCCTCTAGGGAGGGTATGACACATTTGCTGCATGGTTAAGGAACCTGGGTACACCCTGCTCCCACTAACACTTTCACTCTAGAAGCTTTGAAGATGTTTCAGGAAACCATCTCTGCACAAGAGTAAAAGGAAGCCCACACAGGAATAAATTCCAAGATACTAAACTACTTCAAACAGAAAATGAGATTAAGTTACTAAAATAAATCAACATCAATTATACAGTTTTTTCCCTTTTCCTCAAAGGGGGGAAAAAAACCCCACCAACTCATATATATATACACATACACACACAATGACTGTCCCTAGTTTACAACAATATAAGGACTTTTAGCCTCTTGCTTCCTTTTTTCCCTCCAAAGAGCCTCAAGTGCTCATAGCTTCCTACTTCCAAAAATAAAAGGCTTATTTTGCTTTTTCGTCAATCAACATATTTAAATTCTGATATTTTATTAATCGGTTACAGGGCAATGAGACTAGCCCAGTGCCAAATATTAGACTCTATCGTGAAAATGATGAGAAATTGAAATTAAAAAAATATATATCAGATTCCAAAGAAAAACCATATAAAGGAAAAAAGGCCCAGAGCAGACCCTGACTGACAGTTCTCAGGCTGATTCTGGGGCCAAGCCAACCCAGCTCTGCTGCCCTGAGGCACACCGTAGGCTTGTCCCTGACCAGGAAGAGTCAGCACAGGGATGAAAAGCAGCTGACAGATCCTAATGAGAAAACCTGAGTGACAGAAGTTCCTGTTTGCTTCATCTTTGTCGTGGACAGCACCAGTGGTTATGAGGTTACACCGTGTCCATAAAAATAGAATTACTGGCCCCAAAATGGTTATTTTTTAATAGGAATGAGTCCAACAGAGCAGGGTTGTGAGCATCTCAGGAGTGCCAGAAGGACTTCCTGGGCTTTGTGCAGCTCCAGGCAGGAGGCACCCATCCTCACACATAGCTGGACAGGCTGGGGCAGGCTACAACAAGCAGAAAAGGGGCAGCAGGACTAAACCACTGTAAGAGACAAGAGCCTCCTCCTTGATTGCAAGTTTTGATCTTAGCCCCCCCCCCTCCAAGGGGAAGTTTTAAGATTCTCAGAGCACCACCCAAATCCAAGACGAAGTTTTAGTGCCTCAACAACCAAGCAGAGACTGAAGCATAACTGATAGAACCTTAACAAGAACCCAGAGAATGAAAACACAGGGCTGGGAAAACACCCGAAGGGACAGGCAAGGCCCTGTGAGTGACAGTGGGCACCTCCCAGTGGTACTGTGCACACAGGACATGGGACCAACTCAAAAGAAACAGAAAGGCGTGTGGAGAACAGAAATGCCTGTTTCACTGAACTTGACTACTCTCTGCCCAGCTGCAACCTGCAACCTACACTGCCGTGAGCCAGCTCCACTGTCTGTGGAGACCAGGCTGGAGCCACCACACACTGTGCTCACAGCTCCCCTTTCCACAAGAGAGCAGCTGCGGCAATGTGGTCGCTTCTATTAGAATCTTTCTTCCACCAACAACCCCACACTCCTGCCCCTCCACACTTGCCTTCAGCACCTTTGTCCCAGTGCTTTCCATGGAGGCCTTTCCCTCAGGTGCCCTAGACCCAGGCAGAAGTCCACTGACCTCTCAGCAATCACGCTCGTCTGTGCACCAGGAATCATTTTCTTCTTCTTCTTTTTTTTTTTTAACCTCTGAACTTTTTATTGGCCTCCTGCTTTTCCACCTCAACACCTCATAACTTTGGTGTCATTGGTCTCAGACACCAATTTGCCATCCACTATCCTGCGGGTGATAGTCTTTTGGATGATCTGAACGGGGCTGCTGCTGTCCAGGGCATCACTGAGACTGAAGTCCTCCCATCCTTCAGCAGGTGGAGGTATGTGGCGATCTCAGGCTCCAGCACAGCTTGACCTTGATGTTCAGCAGAGCCTCACACTCCTGGGCCTGGCGCTGGCCCTCTGCCCAGGTCTGTGCCAGCTCAGACTCCAGGTGCAGCAGGGTGCCATTGAGCTACTCCATCTGCACAGCATAGAGGGCCTTCCCCTCCCTCAGGCTGTTCTCCAAGCTGGCCTTCAGGTTTCTCATGGAGTCCAGGTTGATCTCCAAGGACTGCGCTGTACATCTCAGCTCCATGCGCACCATCCTGGAAGCTCTGATCTCGGCAGACTGCACGGTGACCACTGTGGTGCTCCTCTAGGTCTTGTCCAGCTCCTCTCGGTTCTTCTGAGCCCACTCATCATACTGGGCCTGGATGTCCACCATGATCTTACTGAGATCCTGAAATTTGGGGGCATCTACCTCCATGGTCAATCCAGAGCTGGCAATCTGGGCTTGTAGGCCTTTTACTTCATCCTCGTGTTCTTCCTCACGAAGAGCAGCTCCTCCTCAAGAGCCTCAATCTGTCTCCAGTTGCAGCCAGGTGACATTGGTGTCATCAGTGACCTTGTGGAGCCCACTGATGTCGCTCTTCCTGGACTGGCACATGGCCAGCTCTGTCTCATACTTGACTCTAAAGTCATCAGCAACAAGACTGGCATTGTCAATCTGCAGAGCGATATGAATATTTTCCACAGAAGTTGCAAAGATCTGAGCCCTCAGGTCCTTGATGGTCTTGAAATAACACACCCAGTCTTTGATCCAGGGTCCCTCCTTCTCCAGGTGTTCCCGGATTTTCCTCTCCAGTCTCCAGTTCTCAATCTCCAGGCTCATCACACTCTTCAGGTAGGTCGTTCAGCTCTTGCGTGGTCTTCTCACTCTGGATGTCCCCCAGTCTCCCAGTTATCCCTGTGGTCAGGTCCCTAGGCCCCCAACCACCCCAGAAGTTGATGGAGCGGGACACAGAGATCCGGGAACTTGAGTGGCCAGCATCTGCATAGATACAATGGCTGCACTGCTGGTGGGCAGGAGGCTGGGTGGCTAGATAGAGCCCAGGAACCAGTAGTTGGTGGAGAAGGTGGTGAAGCAAGTGGTAAAGCTCATGGTGCCAGTGTAGGAGAGCCAGGCGAAAGGATTCACGTTCCAAAGAATCATTTTCAAGGTCACTTATCAATGTATATAACAGCCTTCAGCTTCCCCCAGACCTCATCCTAAAGGCTTTGTATTCTTTCTTACCCAACACTTCAAAACAGTCTTCAAAAGTTAAACTGCCATTTTTACATCCAATAAGCATCTAGAGGGCATCAAGATGTCTTAGCTGGCTAAGACAGTCCAGGTCACATTTCTGGCCCAAGTGGACTTTCAGCAATACCTCCTCAAGTGATGGAGCTGTCACAGTATGATCCAAGGCTAGAACAGGACTTGGAGGCTTTGTGATTACCAATATGCACTTGACCAGCAGGTAAAATCAGCCCTCACTCATTCTGTGATGTTCTAGAACCTCACTAAAATCAGCATGCATGGTCCACCACAAGCAGCTGGGTACCCCAGGCAGGAGCCAGGATGGAGAGAGGGCCACTGGGGAGCAGGGACATGCTGCTCTAGACACTATGCACAGTACACAGGAGTCAGGAGCTGACACACCAACACCACACCCCATGCATGGGTGACCAGGCACGGATGCGGCACCCAGCATTGCCCAGGAAGAAGATGAAGGAGGATGACCATAGAGGGTAGATGAGAACCTGTGACTTTCTCACTCTGCCCACTACATACTCCCGAAGTAAAACCTGCTGGCATGGCAGGAGCTTACCCAAAGAAAGTTCACAATCTGTTTTATGATAACAAAGGCATCAATGTACCTCTGTCATTAATGATGAAGACAATACACTGCAACACATTCTCAGAAGCTGCTTCCAATCTTAAGCACAAAGCCAGGCTCTGCTAGAAATAAAACTCACACACCTTGTTTGCTCTCTGGGGATAATACTTTTGCTGTTCCAAAATCTGTGATCTGGATGTGCATATCTTCATTTAACAAAATGTTTTCTGGTTTAAGGTCCCTGTAAAAATAGATTTTTATATTTGAGATGAAATACTTAAAACGTCAACATTATTATATACTCTAAATATTGCTGAAATCAAAATGAACTAATTAATACTTAAAAATCTTTTTTTTTTTTTTTTTTTTTGAGTTGGAGTCTCACTCTCTTGCCCAGGCTGGAGGGCAGTGGCACTCTCCCAGCCACTGCAGCCTCGACCTGCTGGGCTTAGATGAACCTTCTACCTCAGTCTTCCAAGTAGCTGGTACTATAGGCACGAGCCACCATACCCGGCTATTTATTTACTTATTGTAGAAATGAAGTCTTGCCAAATTGTCCAAACTAGTCTTGAACCCGTGGGCTCAGGCAATCCTCTCACCTCAGCCTCCCAAAGTGCTGGGATTATAGGCGTGAGCCACCACGCCCAGCAATGTTTATAATCTTTACAGACTGACAACCAAGAATACACATCTAACGTTCACACTGAACAAATATCAACTGCATACAAGGATATTAAAATTAAATCACTTCATAACTACAGCTATCATTTTAATAAGCTTTTTATTGAGGTATAAGCTATCATTTTCAACTCGGAAAATGAAGAGCTTATTAACACTTCCAATTTGATTTTATTACAAAGTCATGCAAAATGAGACCAGAAATAAGTACACACAAAAGCTACAATTGACAAAAGCATTCAAAAGCATTAGTCAAAATGGCTAAAAGAATTGTTATCTTGGCAGGAAATTTGATCTGATCTTTTATTTTTATTTATTTATTTTTTGAGTTGGAGTCTCACTCTCTTGCCCAGGCTGGAGGGCAGTGGCATGACCCCAGTCACTGCAGCCTCGACCTGCTGGGCTCTGGCAATCCTTCCACCTCAGCATTCCAAGAAGCCAAAACTACAGGCGCACACTACCATGCCTGGCTATTTTTTATTTATTGTAGAGACAATGTCTCACCAAGTTGGCAGGTTGGTCTTGAACCCACAGGCTCACACAATCTACTCGCCTCGGCCTCTCAAGATGCTGCGATTACAGGTTGAGTCACCGAGCCCGGCCTTGATCTCACCTTTACAGGCAAGTCTCTCATCATCAGGGCTCTGGGATGCTGGCCTCATCTTGGCTCTGGAGAAGGTGTGGCACCAGCTGGCAACTCAGTCACACCCATCCACAGAGCATTCCACCAGGGTTGACTCCCAAGGGCTAGGATGGTTTGGGCATCAACCGAAGCTTGTGGGTCAAATGGCAATTGACCCTATTAAACTGACCATCCTGAAAACGCCACCCAGGACGCCCTCTCAGGTTACCTGTGAATGATGCCCTTGCCGTGCAAGTACTCTAAAGCAGACACAATCTCAGCTGTGTAAAACCGGGTACAGGTCTCATCAAATGAACCGATTTTTCGAATGTATTTAAGTAGTTCTCCGTTTTTGGCATAACTGAGGCCAAAATCTGAATATTGTATAGTTAAGGAAGAGTGTGAAAATCATAGTTTACAAACTAACCTTTATGGCAGTAAGAATTGTGCTAAACTAAATGTCAACTGAAGGTACCTGTGGCCCAAGACAGTCATGTCACTGGGTCTGCCAGGAATTCCAGGCCTCAGTTTCAAGATGAGGCACCAGCGTAGGGATTCGTACCAAGAACACCAGCCCGGGAAACAAACAGAGCCTCTCAGCCCAGACTGCTCTTTCTGACAGCATCATCTCCAAAGGGCACCCATGGCCTCGGTGAAGGGGAAATGCTAGAGACAGGCACGTAGGCCCTGGCCAAAAGGCGCACACAACTTGTGTACAGGCTTCCACCGCAGAAAGAACAGCTTTAGGAGATGGGGGAGAGTGCCACAGCTCCTAGCCCTGAGACCCACTGAACTGCTTCCTATATGGAAAAAGTGACAGTTTGTAAGAGAAAAGTCAATTTATAAACTTCTCAGTTCATTCAGGTTTGTCTGTGAGACACCCAATGGGAAGACATGAAGGCAGTCATCTTTCTCTACACCACTGCACTGTAATGGGCTTTGTGTATATTCTTTTTCCAAGAGGATTTAAGGACAATAAATGGATTCCACACAACTGTTTCCCCCTGGGAGCATCATACATTGTGCCCATTCTGGAAATCTTCAGGTACTTCACCCTTACTAGCAGCCTAAGACACAGGGACCCCAGTGCTCACCCGCCCTAAGCAATGACTCTTGAGGCCAGGAAGGGTGGCTCCTGCTCAGGGTGCCAGGCTGGTCTATGCTCCATTTAGACTTCTGTTTGCCAAGGCAATGTGGTCTCCCACTGAGGAAGGAGCCTGAAGCTTCAGGGCATTGAGGACAAACCTAGAAGGGAAAGGACCAGCAACCAAACCTACCTAGACCTGCCCCTGTCCAGCCCATCTCTGACCACCCAAACCCTCCCAACTCAGACAATGTTCAATAGGAACCTAAACAAAAACCAAACCTCTCTTTACTTCTGGGGAGCGCAAAGGGTCTCAGTCAGGGTCCCCTAACCTTACCCTGTCCTGTCCCTTCAGCAAAGAAGGCTGATGCCCATGGCCTCTTCACCTAGCAACCCACAGACCAAGAAAGTCTCAATGGCACAGGCTGCTGGGGATTCTCCAGCCCAGGCCAGAGCTCAGCATCAGCTGAATGAGCACCCCACCCCCAACTGGCCATAGAACCTCACCCGGAGGAATGCCGCCTCCCGGGAGCCCAGGTGTGAGGCTCAGCCACAACCTTCATCATGCTTACAAGACAGGCTCTCTCGCTGCACCTCTGGGGAGCAGTAGGGCTTGCTCCCTGCTCCCTCAACCTGGCATGGGGATTGCGTCTGGATCCACCCACCTGTCTCCAGGTTGCTGTAGGGTGTCCCCAGGTTCTGCCAGTCTCACAGGAAATTATGGCTAAAGGGAGGATGATGTGCATATCTGGGCATTTCTTCATGCTTAGAGCTTCATTGTTTGTTTGTTTGTTTTAATTGGAGTCTCATTCTGTCACCCAGGCTGGAGTGCAGTAGCATGCTCACAGCCACCACAGCCTCGACCTTTGTGCCTCAGCCTTCCAAGCAGCTGGAATTACAGGTGTGTGCCCCCATGCCCAGCTAATTTTTTGATTTATTGTAGAGATGAGGTCTTGCCATGTTGCGTAGGTGGGTCTCAAACCTGTGGGTTCAGGCAATCCTCTTGCCTCTGCCTCCCAAAGTGCTGGGATTACAGTGAGCTACCTAACCCAGCTGTTTTTTTTAGTTTCTCAATATAACATACATCCAGGATTCCAAGTGTGGTAGAAGTCCCAGGCCTCGTTCCTGTGATGGTGAATAAGGCTTCACAATCTTCTGGGGTTTTGGAATGTGTATTAATCATCAAGGGTAACATGTACCCACTGGACGAAGACCCAGAGTCCCTTTTTCACCTGTACTGCTCTGGCCCATCCCATCTGGAAATCAGACAGCAAGATCACCCTCATCTGGACTCTGAGCCCCTGATCCCACCACCCATGCCCCTGGAGAAGATGAAGACAAGTGTGTGCAATTCAATTGGAGCCTCACAATCAAGAGCATCACCTCGAGAGTCATGCAGGAAGCCTGGGCTCTGGAATTCTGGCAGTCAGAGAAACCACCATGGGCACAAAGAGGGGTGCAGTCACAAAGGGTCCCAGAGGGCACGAGAGGGGTGAGGCAGCCTTGGAGTTGAGACACAGCAGACAAGAATAAGTCATTAAGGGCTGCAGCAGGTTACATTAGTAGGAAGGTGGGGAAAGGTGATGCTGGAGGACAGGAGGCCTGGCCTGGAGGCAAATATTCTGTAAGATCCTCAGTAAACCAACAACAAAACCTTCCTAGGCCACATGCCTGTCAACTATGGCCCACTCCACTGTTTCTGTCTCAGCACAACCACCAGGAGAGCTGGCTCTCAGTGCTGTCTCCACTTCCTCACCTCTCACGCCTTCTGAACTTTCCTCCTAGGAAACTGCCTGTCCACCATAAAAATTTGCACGGGGGCAAACCTGCTGATCAGGCCCCGTGTGCCTGACCACTCCCCAGCACCTGGCCAAGTAGCTGGTGCCCTCCCACCAGAAACCATCTGATCCCATAGCCCTAGTCTCTTGACTCACTGGCAACACCCTGTCATGGTCACTGTGTCGTGGTGTCTTTAGTGGGACCCTTCTTGTGTGACCCTCTGCATGTAGTGGCACTCAGGCTCCGTCCACAGATGAGCCATTCTCTGGGTGGCCCACTAGCTCACAGAGAAATTCTGGGCCTGAGTGTCCCTGACTCCTCTGGAGCTCTGCTGGCAGCAGCCAACAGCCCACTCAGTCTCAGATGGCAGCATCAGCAGGCGCGTGAAATGCCAACCCGGCATCCGCCCCCAGTCCAGCCTTTCCCGGCTCAGTAACAGATACTGCCAAACACCAGGCTGTGAGGGCCGACTCCTAGGAGCTGCCTTGATTCCACTCTTTCACCCAGACTGTTTACAAGACCCTTCCTACCACTACTCCAGCCCCTGCTCTATAGCCTGGACCACGAGCAGCCAGACCAGAGCAAATCCCATGCTTCCCACCACAAACAGAAGAAAGTTCAGAATCGGCCAGGCTGCCATGGCTCAAGGAGGAGTCAGACCACAACCAGTCTTTTCATATTCTGGCCTCAGAGCCACATACTGGCTGTGCCTCAGGCCCTGATGTTTCTGCCCTCGTGTGTTCAGCTTTCTGGACGGAACATCATCTCCTCATACCACCAAGTTCAACAAGCCCCACACTCTAGTCAGTCCTTGCACAGTATTATACTCTTGGAAGCACGTCCTGCTACCTGGAAGTCTGTGGCATCTGCTAATATTCTGTGCACCTCCCACCCTGTGCTCAGCAAGTACTTCTAAGTAAACAAAAGAATAAACGAACTCTGCTGGTGGCAGATGAAGGAGCCAGAAGATGGGAGGAGGACTGAGAAAGGTTTTAACACAGAGTAATCAACATACCTGGGAGAGAAACATGAGACTGATGGTGTGTGGGGGGGTGACAGATGGAGAAGACTCAGGCTTCTACCCCAGGTGGGATGGGGAAGCCAAGCCCTCAGCCACCTTGGTCAGCTTTGAGGGAGCTGAGGAGGAAAGGAAGCTCTGCTGAGACTTGAAGGGAGGAGAAAGAGAGGGAAAGAGCAGATGCAAGAAGCACCTGTTGGGGGCAGGGTCAGCGTGGCCAAATAGCCCTGAGCAGGCCCAGAGGCCCTGACACCCACAGGACCTCCCAGATTCCTAAGTAAAGGTTCAAAAAGAGAAATGACAGTGCTCCAGGGATGAGATGAGAGTTCAGGGGACCAAAGGACACAGTCACGGAGGGTGACTGCTGGAGAAGCAATCTGGCCAGTCCTGGAGAGTGAGGAACTGAACAATCAGAGGGACCAAAGGGCAGCAAGTGTCACACAGAGAGGACAGAGTATACAGAGAAAGGGTTCAGACACCCTTGAGTCACTCCCTGGACTTCTTAAGTGCTAGGTCCAGTAAAGACATCCCTTCCAACCAAAGCCCACAGCCCAGAGCCAAAGAGGGCAGACATCCCTAGGAGTCCATGGATGCTGAGACCACGTGCCCTCTCTCAAGTCTCTGCTTCATCTGAGCACAGGATTCAACCTTGAAAACGTCTGACAGTTTCCCTAAGATAATGTTCTGTGCCACTGAGATCAGTCAGGCCCTGGCACTGTCCAACCGTGGAACGTCAGCCATCCAAGGGATCCTGGTAGTCGGGGGAGGGAAGCCGTGCTGCACTCTTTCCTTTTGGGGGGAGGGGTTACTTATGGAAACAAACAACGATTCCAAGCGAGAGGAGTGCTGGTGTGACTTCAGATGGCACTGACCATGCAAAGGATACACAGCTTCTCATCGTCCTGAAACGTGAAGTAAAGCTTAACAAAGAAGGGGTGATCCAGCCGTGACATCACATCTCGCTCTCTGGTTACATAAGGAACTTTGTTCTCTTTTATAATATGCCGTTTCTCCAGAATTTTAACTTAAGGTGAGAAAGAAGTGAGTTACTAACAATTGAAAATTATAAAAATTACTAAAGACACAACTCACAAAGGTAACTGGTACAAATGACATTGCTCAAAAATTGAACACACCAGCTTCGTGGTCTCTGAGACTAACAGTATCTAACACCCTGAAATCTGCACAGAAACCCCAGCCCTGCCACCCAAGCTGCCCATGCACAGAACCCATGCTACCCTGCATTCTGGACACAAGGTCACCGGAAGTAGTACTTACTAGCATATTCTCTGGAGGTTGCCAGTTCTCGAGCCAGGACAACCTGGTTTGGAAAGAAAAGAAGAAAAAGAGAAGAGAAAAAAAACACACAATGTAATATAGTAACCAGGATGCTGAGTCTGACAAGTCACTCTGCAACCCCCACTGAAGGCTCAAAACTAGAGTTAGATGTTTCTGGTTCTGTACTAACAAACAGAGCTGAAAGCTAATGCTCACATTAATGTTTTCTAATAGTTAACAACAAAATGCCAATCTTCCCAGTGTTTTTCAGGAAGTTCTGGATCACCTGCCAATAGTTTTCATGGTACATTGAAAGTAGAAACTCAGGAGCCTTAGACTAGCAGGCCCTTCATGGCAAGTAGAAAGATGTAGTAAATACCACCACAAGTGGGCAATGGAAAGTCCCTGAAAAAATAACTTGAAGAATATATCCTTGGCTGGGAATAGTGGCTCACGCCTATGATCCCAGCACTTTGGGAGGCCAAGGTGAGAGGACTGACTGAGCCCATGGGTTCGAGACCAGCCTCGGTGACATGGTGAGACCTCATCTCTACAATAAATCAAAAAATTTGCCAGACGTGGTAGTGTACGCCTGTGGTTCTAGCTACTTGGAAGGCTGAGGCGGAAGGATCACCTGAGCCCAGCAGGTCGAGGCTGCGGTGGCCATGAGCATGTCACTGCACTCTAGCCTGGGTGACAAAGTGAGACTCCAACTCAAAAAAAGAGAATATATCCTTCTAGGTTGGGCACAGTGGCTCACACCTGTAATCTCAGCACTTTGGGAGGCTGAAGCAGGAGAACTGCTTGAACCCAGGAGTTCAAGACCAGCCTAGGCAACATAGCGAAACCTTGTCTCTACAAAATTTAAAAATTAGCCACATGTGGTGGCTAATAGTCCTAGCTACTCAAGAGGCTGAGGCGAAAGGATCACCTGAGCCCAGGAAGTCAAGGTTGTAGTGAGCCATTATTGTTCCACTGCATTCCAGTCAGGGCACAAAATGAGACCCCGACTCAAAAACAAACAAAAACAACCCTCCTAGTATGTGTCCACTGCAAAAAGCTGCCCTGAATTTGGGCTTTTTCAAATAATTGTTGCCATACATTTCATTTGATAGCACTCATAAATGCTATAAATATGAACATGGCTATAAGGGGTCCCAGAGACTAAACAAACACAGTGGCCCTGCATGCCCACAAGAGCAAATCCCCTTCCCAGGACACCTGCACACATCCTGCCATGTCCTCTCTGTGGCATACCTGAGCCTTGGACTCACACACCACCTAAAGGACAGCACCCTAACGCAGCATTCAAGCACAGAAAAGACCCTTCTGCACAAGCAAAACCTGGGCACACTGCAAGGAACCAAACTGGAAATACTGGATTGGTCCAGAGATAAGCCAGAACCTTCTGGAGTAAGTTGCCCACAGGACGCCAAACCAGCACCAGTAGATGCAAATGTGTCTCCTAAAACACCTGCAGAGGGACAGCCTGAGGACCAGAGCACAGATGAAACCTGTCCCATGAAACTCCCTGGACCTTGCAGGAAGACCTTTAGGATGAGGTTCAAAGGGCCGGGTTGTAAGTCACATTCTGTGACAGAATTCTTTACAGGACTCATCAGACATGATCCTGGAAAAGCATCGTGTGAAACGCCCTGCAGTGATCAGGAAGAATAAGGATGGATTATATGGGTTACATGTACTCAAGTGGAAAGAGTGCAAAGATCTTTCTGGAGGAATACACCATGTATGGATGGTTCTGAGATACGAGGGAGTGAGGGGGAGTGGGCCGGGCAGGACTTCCCGTCTCTAAGGTTTTGTATTTGTGCAATGTTACATTTCTTCACAAGAGTACACACTAGTTACGCAAGTAGATCAATGGAAGGAAGAACTGTGAGAGAGTACTACTATTTAGTGAAATCCTTTCTAAGGAGGTAGTTATGTCATCTTTCTATTGTCTAAACTCAGCATTTCATGAGGTTTCTACAGGGAGGGAAGAATCTTCTTCCAGGAAAGAACGTATGATGTGTGTCCCTCCATGTCACCCAGGGTGGCAGTGGGGCTAACCTGGATGCTACCACTGTTCTCAGGGGGACTACCCGCTCTCTAGCACCATCCTTGGCTCTACCGAATCAAGATCTTGCCCAGCCTCCTAACTGCCATTTGTCCTCTACCCCTCCCCTGGAAATCTAAATTTAAGTGGTCCCTATTTCAGGAATGATGAGAAAGAACTAAGGATAACACACATAATTTGAGACCCAGCAATGAAGATTCCAAATGGCCCCAGGAAAGAGTTGGCTCACAGTATTTCCCAGGCACCTCTCTGGTGCAGACTCAGAGAGGCACTAGGATGACAGATGATGATCGTGGCCTCAGAGGGTCAGGATTGGCTTTCCACTCGCCATGGGAACCTGGGGATATGGGCTATTTCACAAATAAGTCCCTATTTGTCAGTCAAGATAAATGTAAAGAAGGACAACCGAGCAGAAGGGATGCCTCCTCTCATTTCACCAGACTGTTGCAGGCAGCCGAGCAGAAGGCCCATGGTTTCCAAAGTAGCTTCTTCTTTCCAAGAGAGTCTGTGAGCACCAGACCTCTGGGGACTATCTTCACGGTTAAAGGTGTTTTTCATAATGGCACAATTCTTTTATTAACAAAATTCTTTCATAAAAGCTGCGATTTAAAAAGTTTAAATTACAAGTGTAAGGGCATTACAAGTTAACATTAATTAAAACAAGAAGCTAGGACCAGGCTCGGTGGCTCAGCCTGTAATCTCAGCCCTTCGGGAGGCCAAGGCGAGTGCACTGCCTGAGCCCACAGGTTTGAGACCCGCCTGAGGCAACTTGGTGAGACCTCGTCTCTACAATAAATAAAAAATTAGCCAGGTGTGGTAGCGCGCACCTGTAGTTCTGGCTACTTGGAAGGCTGAGGCAGAAGGATTGCCAGAGCCCAGTGGCCAAGAACGTGCCACTGCATTCCAGTCTGGGTGACAGAGTGAGACTCCAACTCAAAAAACAAACAAACAAACAAAAACCCAAGATGTTAGGAATATGGGGGAGCTATATTTCATGTTCTTTGCATTTTTAAATGCTTCATAAATGTAAAAGAGAGGAAAAGAAAACAAATTTCACATATGGCTTCTAAGATCAGGCCCGAAGATGGGCTGTTCAGGAGTGCTCAGGCTCTCCCTGGAGCCACCCTGCATGCGCCCAGCCACCACGGAGACCATGCAGCAGGAATCTGGCTCTTTACAGAAGCACAGACTAAGACTGCACACCCAGAGTGGCTTCATGGGGTCCCACCTGCTGCCTTGAACCTTTGTTTCATTGCTTTAAGAAGAAAAAAACACCACAAGACAGGCAAAAGTCACTATGGTTGCGAAAGGAGTTCCCACGAATCAGACTTGACACTACTGTGAAAATATTTGTTTATGAAACTCAGAACACAAGAATCCAGAGACTGTGCCTCTAGCAAATCATGGTGTACTGTTTTATATATTTATTTTTTAAAAATCAAACGAGAAAACTAAAAAAGGTCATTATATGTTCCCAAAAAAACTCTGAAGAGATTCTAATACTGTGATACTAACTTTCAATCGAAGGAAAAGAAAAGTTTCTCAGGGCCTTGCCAACAAAACACAAGGACACAGAAAATAACTTGCTGATGCCAGGTTAAAATAAAATTAGTTGCATTTGGGAAAAAAAAAAAAAAACCATAGCCAGGCATGGTGGCTCACACCTATAATCTCAGCACTTTGGAAGGGAGAGGCCAGAGGATCACTTAAGCCCAGAAGTTTAAGATCAGCCTGGGCAACATAGTTAGACTCCATCTCTACTAAAAAAGTAAAAAAATTAGCTAGGTATGGGGGTGCACACCTGTGGTCCCAGCTACTCAGGAGACTGAGGCAGGAGTCCAGGAGGTCGAGGCTATAATGAGCCCGTGACTGTGCCACTGCACTCTAGTCTGGGCAACAGTAAGACCCTAACTCAAAAATAATAATAATAGGCCAGGCGCGGTGGCTCATGCCTATAATCCCAGCACTTTGAGAGGCGGAGGAGAGAGGTAATGATTACCTAAGCCCATGGGTTCAAGACCAGCCTAGGCAACATAGCAAGACCTCATCTTACAATAAATCAAAAACTTAGGCCAGGCGCAGTGGCTGACACCTATAATACCAGCACTTTGGGAGGCCAAGGTGAAAGGATTGCCTGAGCCCACGGGTTTGAGACCAGTCTGGACAACTCGGTGAGACCTCATCTCTGCAATAAGTCAAAAAATTAACCAGACATGGTGGGACATGCCTGTAGGTTCCAGCTACTTGGAAGGCTGAAGTGGAAGGATCACCTGAGCCCAGCAGGTCGAGGCTGCAGTGGCCATGAGTATGCCACTGCACTCCAGCCTGGGTGACAAAGTGAGACTCAAAAAAAGAGAAAAAAAATTGGCTGGGCATAGTAGCGTGCACTTGTAGTTCCAGCTACTTGGAGGGCTGAGGTGGAAGTGAGCATGCCACTGCACTCCAGCCTGAGCAACAGAGTGAGACTTTGACTCAGATAATAGTAATACATAAAATAAAAACAATCTCATCAACAAAATCAGGTTTAGACCCTTAGCCTTCACAACAGGTGATAACGCAGGAGGGGCCAGAGACCCGCCACCAGGAAGATACCAGCCTGTCTGGTACCAGCAAGCTCTGAGGAAAGACAGTCTTTCCAAGGAAAATGCTTGTTTGACAAACAGCATAAGCATATACTCACTGTCGAAAAAGAGCCTTCACCCAGAATTTTCCCAAATTTGAAGTCTTCAGGCCGTTTCTTCCGAGGCTGTGGTGGCGGCTGGGTGGCATGCTGCAGGGAGCTGGCGCTCGGCCGAGACTCAGTTGTGGTGCCATCCATGGTGGGGCCCTGCCTGCTGCCACCACTGGGAACGACAGGGGCCGTGCCGGACTCAGTCTGGGTCCTCACCATTGATGGGGACGGGCAGGAACATAACACCACACTGGACTGAATAGGAACAGCGTCATACTGGTGGACAGAGGAAAACAGGTAAGACTCAAAGTGGCTCACTTGTCCTAAATGGATGAACTAAGGTGTAAGCGCCTCAACTCAACATTGTTGAAGAACAAACCCTAAGGACAGGGCAGGCTTTCTGACGTCCCACTGTCCATTTTGGGAGGCTGTCCTCCTTTCCCAAGTTCTCCTTCCTGTGCCATCCTCACCTACTAGTCCACTGGCAGCTACTTACCCTCTCCCTTGGCACTGCTCAAGTCTCTAATCAACTCCCCCCAAGTTCAAGTTATAGCAACCAGAGACAGCACTGCACACTTCTAATTATGGGGGGATGAACAGGTAAGAATGCTGACTGGCTGGGTGCGGTGGCTCATGCCTGTAATCCCAGTACTTTGGGAGGCAGAGGCAGGAGGATTGCCTGAATACAGCGGTTAGAAATCAACCTGAGCTGGGCTTGGTGGCTCAGTCTGTAATCCCGCGCCTTTGGGAGGCTGAGGTGAGTGGATTGCCTGAGCCCGCGGGTTCAAGACTTGCCTGGGCAACTTGGCAATACCTCATCTCTACCATGAATCAAAAAATCAGCCGGGCGTGGTAGCGCATGCCTGTAATTCCGGCTACTCGGAAGGCTGAGGTGGAAGGATAGCTGGAGACCAGCAGGTCGAGGCTTGCGGTGGCCGGGAGCGGCCACTGCACTCCAGTTTGGGCGACAGAGTGAGACTCCAACTCAAAAAAGTAAATAAATAAATAAATAAATAAACCCGGACAACTTGGCAAGACCTCATCTCTACAATAAATCAAAAAATTAGCTGGACATGGTAGTGTGTGCCTGCAGTTTCGCTACTTGGAAGCTGAGGTGGAAGAATCTCCTAGCCCAGCAGGTCAAGGCTGTGGTGGCTATGAGTGTGCCACTGCACTCCAGCCTGGGTGACAGAGGTTCCAATTAAAAAAAAAAAAAAGTTCTGACTATGTTCACAATATACAATGACACCCAATGCTGGCAAGACTGTGATAAAGCACCAGGCTCGGTGGCTCAGCCTGTCATCCCGCGCCTTTGGGAGGCTGAGGTGAGTGGACTGACTTAGCCCAGAGGTTCGAGACCCACCTGGGCAGCGAGATCTCATCTCTACAATAAATCAAAAAAATCAGCCGGGTGAGTGTTGCACACGCCTGTAGTTCCGGTTACTCAGAAGGCTGAGGTGGAAGGATCACCGGAGCCCAGCAGGTTGAGGCTGCGGTGGCCGGGAGCGGCCACTGCACTCCAGTCTGGGCAACAGAGTGAGATTTTAACTCAAAAAAAAAAAAAAAAGACTGTGATAAAGCAAGCATACACACAGAACCATGGCTGGCACCAAAAACCGGTTACTGTGAAATGTTTTGGAAAGCAATTTGGCAATTGTCAACAAAGCAACTACAGAACAGTTGTCAATGAGACACACAGAAATACAAAAAAGACGAGGGAGGTGGATAAAAACACAGCTAAAAATGTAAGTGGGCACTAAGAGAAGATCAGATCATGCTCAAAGTGAAACTGGCAGTATGTGAAAGTTGTGCCCACAGTCAAACAACATCCCTCTCCAGCTGTGACCCTGATGTGGTCACTGTGGCGACATCAGCCCACCCACACTGTAGCAGAACAACATGAAATGAGCTCAGGGCACCCAGATGCTGGTTTCTAATGCTACTATACTCCCCACTGAAAGAACCCAGAAGAGCACTTGACCACACATCTCAACAGGGCTGTGGAATTCACACTATAACTGAAAACAATGAGCCTACCTCCTCATGAGCTTGTGGAAGGACAGAAGACCAGCAAGGCCAGTTTGAAGAAGCTGCCACTGACCAGGCTGTGACTCTTTCAAACACTAAAAGCAGATTAATCAAAATAAGCCAAAGCTAAAAAAGTCATAAGTTTGTAATGGTACACAAAGGTGGTTCATAAGTAATAAAAAAGTTGAACACAATTAAATGCTTAGTTTTTATTAATTACAAGTATAAGGGGAGTGGCCATGCAGTGCTGTTTCTTGTACTGTACATCTGTTTATAAAGGATCGACAAGGATTCTATCTTGTCAAGGACCATGAAGAAGCCAGAGATCTGGAAAAGTAGAAACAACATAGAACAGGGAGGACAGGTAAGCACAGGTTAATCCCCAGTATGCTGCAGGAAGACAGCCCAGCCACCAAAGAGAAGAGCTAATGGAGATGCTCACCTTAAGATCACAAAACATATAACAAAAAAACCGGCCAGGCTCAGTGGCTCAGTCTGTAATCCCAGCACTTTGGGAGCCCATGGGTTCGAGACCAGCCTGGGCAACTTGGTGAGACCTTGTCCCTACAATCAAAAAAATTGGCTAGGCTTGGTAGCATGCGCCTGTAGTTCCAGCTACTCGGAAGGATCACCAGAGCCCAGGAGGTTGACGCTGGGTGGCTGTGAGCGTGCCACCGCACTCCAGCCTGGGGGATGGAGTGAGACTCCAACTCAAAAAAAAAAAAAAAAAAATTCCAGAGGGAACTTCCTGTGACTCAAACATGACAACACAGAGGTGGAAAGGGAGACAGCAGACAGTGAGGACAGGCGGTGTCCAGGCAGTGCCAGCAGCGCAGTGGCCTCAGCTCCATGAGGGAGGTCAGCCCTGAGAGACAGGCACACACAACACCCCAGCTGTGGACTGGCGCTGCAGCTAGGAGAAGATAGGCTTCTCTTTCTTACAGATCTGTTAAGTTCATCTTAACTCCAGGCAAGGTATAAAAATATGAAGGAGATGTCTGGGCATGGTGGCTCACACCTGTAATCTCAGCACTTTGGGAGGCAGAGGCGAGAGGACTGCCTGAGCCCAGGGGTTCAAGATCAGCCTGGGCGACTTGGTAAGACTTCAACTTGGTGAGACCTTGTCTCTACAATAAATCAAGAAAAATTAGCTGGGTGTGGTGCCACACACCTGAAGTTACAGCTACTTGGAAAGCTGAGGCAGAAGGAACTCCTGAGCCCGGCAGGTTGAGGTTGCATGCAGTGGCCATGAGTGTGCCACTGCGCTCCAGCCTAGGTAACAGAGTGAGACTCCAATTCAAAAAAGAAGAAATCAACCACACAGTATTGATTAAATATGATCAAATGACTTCATAATAAATATGTTAAAGAATATGATCAACAAAACGTGTACATTTTCATTTTCTAGTTTGCTAGTAGGTGTTTAAGTGCTAGTAAAACCTTTATCACATGTAGAAATTTAATAAACTGGACACTAAGAAGAGTTCAGAGACCAGGCGCAGTGGTTCATACCTGTAATCCCAGCATTTTGGGAGGCTGAGGCAGGAGGATCACTTGAACCCAGGAGTTTGAGACCAGCCTGGGCAACATAGCGAGAGCCTGTCCGTACAGACAAATTAAAAAATTAGCTGTGATGGTATATGCCTGTAGCTGCAGCTACTGTAGTCTCCCTACTCAGAAGGATCTCCTGAGCCCAGGAAGTGGAGTCTGCAGTAGCGTGAGCCGTGATCATGCTACTGCACTTTAGTCTGTACAACAGAGACTCCAACTCAAAAAAAAAGAAAAAGTTCAAATACTAGCAAGTATTCCTCGTATATAAAACCCCTTGATCTTTCCACCTCAGTCTTCCAAATGGAACTACAGATGCACACTACCACATCCAGCTACTTGTGTGTGTATGTGTGTGTGTGTGTGTGAGTGATTTGTTGCAGAGACAAGGTCTCATCAAGTTGCCCAAGCTGGTCTCAAACCCCTGGGCTCAGGCAATCCTCTAGCCTCAGCCTCCCAAACTGCTGGGATTACAGGCTGAGCCACTGTACCCGGACTGCAACAGTATCTTAAAGTCACATTTATAAAATATTCTACTGCAGCTTTGGGTATCACAGCACAAGTTTAGAACAGTTATGTGCTCACAACACAGAAGTGACTAAGTAAACAGGGGCATACACACTTAATGGAATATATAAAGGCTGTGAAAACATGGCTAAAAATTAAGCAATTGGTGAAGCTGAATTCACCAATATTGGAAACTTTGGGGATATTGGAAATTCTCTGTAAGTTTGAAATTATGTCTAATCAAAAAGTAAATATACGTATAAAAATAAAGAATTGTATGAATACTAGCAATGCAAAAGTGTTACAAGCATACCTACAGAAGAGACTGACAAGAAAATGACAAAATGGCTGGGCACTGTGGCTCATGCCTATAATCCCAGCACTTTGGAAGGCTGAGGTGAGAGGCCTGCCTGAGTCCACGAGTTCGAGACCAGCGTGGGCAACTTGGCGAGACCTCATCTCTACAATAAATCAAAAAACTAGTCATGCATGGTGTCATGCGCCTGTAGTTCCAGCTACTTAGAAGGCTGAGGTGGAAGGATTCCCTGAGTCCAGCAGATTGAAGCTGCAGGGGCTGTGAGTGTGCCACTGCACTCCAGCCTGGGTGACAGAGTAACACTCTAACTCAAAATAAATAAATAAATAAATAAAATAAAATGAAAAGTAGTCGTTAAAGTGGTGGGATTATGGATTTCTCTCTTATAACACATTTTTAATAGAACCAAAAAGAAACATAAAACAAAAATCCAAGCTAAGTATTATTTGAAGCCAAAGGTTCCAAGCTCTGTGCTAGTGAGAAGATAGGCAGGCAGCCTCTGGAGTGGAGAAATCCTCTCCATGTGTCCATGAATCTGGAGGAGCAGCTGGCTCTTCAGCATCGCTTAAGCACAGAGCCCTTCAGACTCAAGGACTCACTGAGAACACCATAAATTCCTTAATTAGAGATCCCCCCTCCCCCCCAGAGCTCAACGACTGAAAACCTTCCCCAAATACACTGCCTGCATGCGGGCTCCACAGGATGGTTGACCCCTGGCATATGGTATAAATAGGACCAGACAGAACCTCTAGCTAGAACAGGTATGAAAAAAGCCGTTGTTTTCTTGAAAGCTCCTAAGACTCAGCAAGAAGTTTAATATGCCTTGTGAATTTCACAAATACTCCTTTTCACAAGACCCAGGAGTCAGACAAAATTC